TACACTCTACATATACTACCTCATTTAATCCTCAGAACAACCCAGAACCTAGGTACTTAATCATCATTTACACATAGTAAGTAGCAGAGCTCAAACTGAATGGCTTACTTGCTACATTATCCTATCTCCTCCCTTCCTCACAAAGCACACTGCCCAGCAAGAGGCAGGAGAAAGCCAAGTGTTTATGCTGTATGTGCCATAAGATTCAAATCCAAGAGGCCACAACCATAACCCAGAAAAAGCATCGAAGATATAGCCAAACTCAGGGTAAGTTGAGGGATGCTGGTTCCAGCCTGAATAATATAAGCAAACAAATGCATGGCTCCAATAATCAATTATTGGTTAAACAGTCAAAGGTCAGTGAGTTTAGAACTTTAGCAAGATGTCCACACGTGTTAAACTCTTGTTCCAGCAGCAGGCCTCTACATAAATACTGGCCATTAGTAACACTGCCTAATGTTTTAAATTTACAGTTTTAGAAGGAAAAAAGACAGGGACATTAAGAAATAAAAAGGGCCAAATTTTTAATACACTTTGGCAAAAAGTTAACAACAGACACAGAGAAAACGTTATATGAATGCCCACTCATGGCAGAATATGGAATTTGAAGCTTATGAAATGCTCTACTCCATGTGAGCAGCTGCGGAGGGACAGGAAGAACTGGATCAAGAGAAAAAAAAAGGCAAAATGAAAGCAAGAGAGAACACGCTGTGAAAGAGAATTCACTTTAAGTGGTGGGAGGGGCAGGTCATAAATAAACGCAAAAACAAAACAAAAAAGGCCAGGTGAAAATGAGACAGACGTGCACGGAGGAACCAAGACGACAGATGACAGCAGAAAGACAGACAGACAGACAGACAGACAGCTAGCTCAAAGATGAGAGTCAGTCAAAAGGGAGGGAAAGGAAAATATTTTGGTTCTCTATTAAAAAGGCAAGTAGCATCCACTATCATCTTTGCAAGACCGATTACTCCTCTGTGTGTGAAAACTCAAAGGAAAAATACGTGCATTTCTATTACCTAATGTATAAATGTGGACTGCATTCCATAAATAAAATGCTGGCTCTCAAAGTTTCATTCAAAGACTTAATAAATGCACAAAATCACACAACAAAAACTCAATCATCTCTGCATACTGGAGTTAGTCTGATAACAAGGAAACAAGGTTGCTTGGAAGCTCTATGATCAATTTACAATTCCCTTTACATATACCTATCACTATAGCAGTAAGTAAGTAAAAGGATGAAAAAAGTGGTCATACACATACACCCGTCAGAAGCAACAAGCAGATGGAGAGTTGCAAAAGCTGTGTTAGTGTGATAGGATGACTCCACTGTTTTCCTTAAGTGAAGTTATAGTAAATACATACAGAAATACACACTATGGACATATATGTACACATATACTCATATGCCCTTTTGCTTGTAATCTGCTAAAAATACTTAGAAATACAAACAATTTATACTTGGCCACAGGAAAACGAGGCCAATGCATAATCTTTCTCTTTACTTATTTAATGCTTCTCCCCTCACACTTTGTATGAAACATCTATTTTAGCCATTCTACAATCTATGTTTGAAATTAAAAGCCCCAGGAGGCCAGAAGAGTTATCCCTTAATAAATTTAAAGAGATAACAAATTCCAAAGAGAAGCTTCAAAATGAAAAGTGGAGGAAGAGTATCCAAAAATACAAAGTGCCACCTAGGAAACCTCGAGCCGTTCCTGAAATTAACATTGATATTTTAAAAGTAAAAAGTCCATGATTTAAACACTTCATTATCTTTCATTATTCAAACAACTAAATCCTCAAATCCTAAATCCTAAACAGGGTATTATTCTGCGTACAACAGAGCAGGGACTGAAGAGAGGTGCACAGGCATGAAGAACCACTGACACACTTTACACATAATCAAGCTTCCAGAGACGCTAAAAATTTATTTTTGCTTCATCTAATGATGATGTGAAGTAAAATGTTTGCAAACAGGAAGTTTATTTTTTCTAATCCATAGCCTATAGAACTTCTTAATTATTCCTCACAGCAACACTATAATCTAACACTTTCAGAAGGGCTGTGATTTTTCTGACACAGATTTAGGTCCCCCAGTGAAGACAAGCTGTGAGAAATTGGGTAGGAGAGAAGGAGAAAGGTGCCGTTTACACATTTATCTGCTCGGCTCACACCTTCGGTGGAACATCACCAGCCAGTTAAACATTCAGTACTGCAATAATTTTGTCTCCATCCTTTTGACAATTTGTTTCACGCCTCATTTGCTATGAAGAGTTAAAACATTTTAGTCAACCTTGAGAAAGCAATTTGATTTTTTTTACATAGCAAAATGCATAACCTATTCCAACTACCAGGCCACTGGTTAAAGTTCAAACTGCGACAAGAACAGGAATCAAGTACTTTCCTTCAAATGTTGCAGAAGAAAAAAAACACTAACCAGTCTTAACATTTATTTGCAGTGGATACAAAACAAAATCAAGTTTAAAAGCCTTCCACATACTTGGTTCCAAATAGCAACATCTTCTCTCCTGTTAAAAACAGTGGACGACCCAGACGCCCTCTCCGTTCCTATGATCCTCAGACAACTCAGCAGAAGCCCGGGCAGAACACTCCAAAACAAAGAAAGAAATTCTTTCTCATAATATTCTTTTATTGGGTTTTTCATTTTTTTTGTATTTTGGATCATCACAATGTATCTGTACTGTTGATAACAATGAAAGTTTCAAAAATGATTATTCCAGATCCAGTCCTATGCACAGCCGTCCAAAATTCAGGCAGCTCACGTTGTGCACTTACTAAGAGCACTGCACAATAATCATATGCTTAAATTGTTTATAAAACTATAAAATGCAACCAGCATTTCTACAGCAGCACGGTCCAATAAAACTTTCTGCAATGATGGAAACATTCTATTCTGTGCTGTATTTGTGCTTTTAAGCACTTAAATTGTGGCTAGCACGACTGCAGAATAGAATTTTTAATTTTCATTAATTTTAATTTAAATAGCCACATGTGGCTACTGGCTACCATACTAGACAGAGGAGTTCTGGAGGGTAATTTTAACACTAAAAAGGCTGTCTGCTGGAAAACAGCTCCTTTAGTCACTTTACGTACCCTGATGCAGTGTCCTCTTTTGGAAGGGGGAATGGTAATGAAAACTAGACCAAGTATTAAGATCCCCTTCACATTCTCACTACAAATAAATACACTTTAGTTCAAATTTGCTTCCTAATTGGTAAGGCAGGAGGGACACATATAATGAAAATGTTTGCCACAGGGAAAAGGGGGAGTCCCAGTGGGCACCTTAGAACCACATCTCCTAGGACACCAAGAAGGACAGGCCTCCTCCAGCCTCACCCTCTGGCTAGGGGTCGTACCACCTACTGTGTGGCTTCTTGGAAGATTCCAGTTTCTGTATCTCTTTAACCAAATGATATTCCATCTATGGAAAGATAGCATCTCTCTTCTTCAACTTTTCCAATATCCTCATAGAATATCAAATGATGTGAATACAAGGAAGGAAAAAAACGCTAGTGTAGTGAGTTTCCACAACATAAATTCAGGCCATTCGCCTAAGTCTACTCACGCCAGTCACTGCTGAGAGCAAGTACAGAGAGCACAGTATCAGAGAAGGCAATGGAGTCGGATGCCTGGGTTCAGACTGTGCCTGTGCCACTTCCTAGCCATAGGCCTTAAGCTTATCTAGATTGTGCCTTTGTTTACCCATTTGTAAAATGGGTACAATAATTGTACCAAATTCACAGAGAATACATATATGGTTCTTAGCACAGTGCTTGACACCTAGAACTATTCAACTAAATACATATTACCCATTATTCAAGACCTAGTGTTTTAGTACAAGGGAGGAACAAATGAGGTTCCTGCCGAGGTTGCAGGTTCCAGGAGGGAATCTGATGTATAATCTGTAGTACTCAAAAGGGGATGTGTGTGTGACCTGTACTTTAAGGAATAGTGTCACTATAAATACACGAAAAACACATACCTGCCTTACATTAACAATTTTAACATCAAAGAATAACTTAGACACACAGAGCAAACTTTCAGAATTTTCAGTAGCTAATCCTGAATGCCAGCTCTCAAACACAAGTTTTCAGAAGGAATAATGAGAAAATGTTTAACAATTTTTACTTCTACTGGCCACTGCCTTGGCCTGAGATTACTGGCAAAACCAGAGCTAACTGCCCAAATGCAATCAGCCCCGGTTTAGGAGGGCTCGGCAGACCTCAGAGATGCCTCCCTACGACCAGGTGACTCACCACTTCATGTTTACGGTAAGCTTTACCAAGGCATCAAGAGCACCCCCAAAACACATTGGTGTTCGATATGCTACAAAACTTATTTTCTGGAAATGTTTGTAAATAATCTTTATAAAAATGTGGCTCCTTCCCCTCAGCCTACAAATTTAGTGAAATACCCTCCATCCTTAAAGACAAGGGCAACACAGGCTCTGCGTGAACTTGATGCAGGTCGGACTCCTGGGTCAAAGTACATGTGCTCCTCTGATCCTACGTTTCCTCAGAATCTATAAAACAAGGACGGAAACACCTCTCTTGTAGAAACGTTGTGAGGATTAAATCAGAGACCTCATCCATCATGTGTGTGGCCCCCAATAAGCACACTCTTGAGTCCTGCCAAGGGGGATGCATCAGGCACTGGGGGTACAAGGAAGAAGAGGGCCCCTCCCTTCCCCACCAGAGCAGTGCCTGGTCCACTGGGAGAGGGGAAAGGTCAACTGACATTTAGGGAACCCCCAGCACAGTGCCTAGGCACAAAGAAGGCAGCATAGTGAATGCAAGTCCTCTATCCCTCTTTCGGTTAAAATTTTTTAAACAAACTCCCCGAGTCCTTCCAACCATCTCAAAGCCTCGTTCTCATTTCCTATTCACTCCTCAGCCTACGGCTCGCCTCTTTCCCAACTGCTCTTCCGAAGGTCACCAATGACCAATGACCAAATTGTCAGTCCCCACTCTTACCTGACCACTCCTCAGTGCTTACCACAGCCGCACATGTCTTTCTTCCAGAAATCTCGACCCTCCACGGCTTCTGCAGAGCTCTCCCCACATTTTCCATCTCCTTTTACAGTTCTTTGGCTGGCTTCTTTTTCACTCCTTAAACATCAGTGTTCCCTAAAAGTCCTCAGCACACCGCCTTCTCCCACACACATGCTCCCAAGGGCAAACTCATGAACTCCACTCTCAGCTGACACCCCCTGCTAAGAAGCTCCATTTATATTCTGGGCCCGGATCACCCTCCTCTATTCCAGGTCCCTATTTTATATCTGCCTACGAGCATCTCCATTTAGCTGTTTGGAACACATCTCAAACCCAGCATGTCCAAAACCACAGCCTGTTACTAAATATACAGGATGATTCAAAAGCAACTGAACACCTTCATGAAGTTACCATGCCACGTGACTCCTCCCCGTGGCGTCAGATCCAGAGCTCTGGGTTTGCACCGCCTCTTCCTCTCAGCTTGGAGGAAGTGAAGGCAGCACTGGGGCTGCCATGTGCCATTTCAACCAGTGACAGTGACAAGACTGCGTCTGATTACTGCCCTGTGACCCAACAGGTGCGTGCCCAGCACTGCTGAGAGCCTATAGGAATCACCACGCCAGCTCTTTTACAAACTGATTTTAGTAGATATTTGTATATAGCTGCACCACTAGGAAATGTTCAATTCTTCTCAATTTCCTTGGGCAGCTGTTCATCCCTACTAGAAAAGCTACCACCTCCATGTAGATAGGGGGGTTCTGCTAACTCTGGGATTAAATTTCACTAGAAGATAAACCTTATGAAAGCAAGGCTTGGGCTTTATTCATTGCTGTGTCCCTAGCACCTAATACTACCCGTCACACAGCAGGTGCTGAACAGACAGCAGTATCTGGATAGATGTCAACAGCTACCTGTTGACTGAGTCAAGGATGTACACAAAGTAGCGCAGCAGCTGGCAGACAGCTCAGGTCCTCCACCCACTCTAATCCTGGCCTCCCTCTTTTCTTTCGCAGAGTCTTTGGGGGTGCGGAAGGTATCCCCCACGTCTCTATACTCACCGCTTCTCCTTCAGCTTGGTGTCCCAGGAATGTAGGGCATGGCCTGCTTCTGCCGATTCCCTCGGGAGGTCACCAGGGACCAGCTAGCAGGGCCTGTTCCCTCCCTGCAGCTCACAGAACTTGCTGCATCTCAGCTGCCTGCTTCTACGGGCCCCTCACTTCGATCCCGCTGCCCACAGCTGCTCCACTAACTTCTCCACTTTGTACTTATAATACGGCCAAAAGGAAAGCTACATGGAGAACCAAATAACTATCATCTATGCCTGAAAAAGGAGGCAGTGGCTTTATTCTTCTCTGACAGTTAAATTCATGAGCATTTTGACAGTTATTTTCTTAGGGCTTTCTCAGCTGTTTCAGAATGTTCAGGTTCCACTGTTGAAAACTGTAGCACTAGATGAATGATACATTCCTAGAGAAATTCTCTGAAAGGACTAACACAGGTAGACAGGTGTTAGCTTTCTAGGCAAAAGATACCTTAGAGCGAACAAGATTAAAATGTGGCTGCAAAGACAATGAAGATGTCCATTCCTTCAGAAGCTTGAAGAACAAACAAATCAAAGGTCTGGCCTTAAGAGAAAAGGACGTGCCTGTGACACACGGCAACCTAAAAAACAGGTTACAGATTTTGCTTTGCTTTTTTCTTTTCTGTGGGTTCCTACAAATAGACTCTTAATTCATTTGCGTAAGATGGGTTAGGTGTAGTCAGTGCTAACTTCAAAAACTATTACTAGTGATATATTATTATAAATAATAAAACAAAATCAAATACCATTAGAAAATAGGGAACAAGAGACAGGAAAGCCTTCATTTAATTCTAAGCTAAAATTAGCATGAAGGAGGCACATCATTTGGAAACATTCTCAGCCTCAAACTTAGGAGCAAGCAGGAGGTGAGGAAAACACAAGTTGAAAGCCCAGGAAAGAGACATGAACAGAGCCAGCACTGTGGCCTCTCCCACTGCAGTACTGGTGAAGCGGGATGCGACTTACATCACTTGTCTCAAACAAGGTTATGCGCCAAATTGGTTTTTTTCAAAGCTGTGAGATTTGGTTTTATTGATAAATTTTAGAAGAGAGAAACAGTTGGGGACATAAAAGGGACATTTCCCAGTGTTATACCTTACCATTAGACATAATTAGGAAGAAAAAGACTAAAAGGGTCTCAGGACCCTCCCAACACCCTTTGTCCTGCCACCCGAAGTTCCTTAGCTAAGTAGGTAACAAATGGAAATGACGTATTCGACTGGGTCCAGGGATTGAGTGCTTTTAATATCTTCCCAACAGCACTGACTCCGACTCCAGAATGGCCACGCGGCAACAGCAAAAACAGAAATAATCATGACTATATGTCATGAAATGACCCCACCAAAGAACTGGAGGATTTTTCTGCCTTACGTTTATTTGTTCTTGTAACCATACAGTAACATCCTGATGAATTTAAGATATGCTAATTTGGGGGTCTGTCAACTTTCAGCACCACAGGAGTTCACTCCAGGCACACAATATGACATTAAATTTTACTTTGTTGGTTTTTCTCTCTAAAATTCTCTCCTCCAGCTGCCTGTACTCTCCCTTCTCTCCAGTCTTCTGGTCCCTGATTGTCATTTGTCCTCTCTTCCTACGTTTTTGGACTTACAGACTTCTGGACTCCAAACACCCCGAACACCAAGTGCCCTTGAGATACTGTCCAGTCCATTCATCTACTCCCTCATTCAAAAATATTAAGCAGATATATTAGTAGACACTGTTCTATATGCTGGTCCATCACCTCCCGACCCCAGAAACTTCAGTCACAGCCACATGTAAGTGATTCCAGACAGAAAAGAATCTGTGCTCCTCTTTAAACATCAACAGACTGTTCCACAGCCTCCTTGATAACTTAAATCAACGACCCAGATCATGGAACAGAATTCCCCCAACAGGCGGATGTGAATTAATGTTCAATGGCACTATCACAAAAATCCAATAGCCACCTTCATGCCCCTGAAACATAGACTCTTTCCTCTCTTTTGTCTGGTGTGACTATGAGCAAAAATACTCCAAAAGCTCCTCACTTTGAAGAATGTAATTCTACATGTCTTAATGATGACAAAAAGTCTGTTTATGTAAAGTTTACCTCCACCTTGTCAGTGACCTCTGTGGGTGGCAGAAAGGTGGTGTCCAGGCCATTCCACAGCCTGGGAGCATCTGAATCCTGGAGGGGCTTGGGAATCTTGCCCGCCTCCCTGGGTGAATCTGATGTGCAACCAGATTTGAGAACCACTCGTTTACTGAAGGGATTGCAGGCTTTAGCATCAGACAAACCGGGGTACTGAACATGCGTCTCAGTTCTACCAGTTTATTTGTCTGTGAAATAGGGAGAGGGTCCTGCAAGACTGCTGAGAGGATTGCGATCACTCGGTGCAATGTGCTGGGCACACACAGTAGGTGCTCAATAACCTGCGCTATCATTACTGTTTCTGTTAGATCGCTATTATTTAGGACTCTTCTGAAGATCTCTCTCTGAAACTGCATTTCTCTATTTGAGACACCAAGAACAGAAAGCAGCGTGTGACAGTTTTGCCAACTGTGCCCAAATGGAGTAAGAGGTTGACTTCATGTGTCCCCACATTACAGTCTCATGCAGGCCACTCCTTTAAAAAAAGAAAAATCACTCAAGGTTTGACTGCTGACTCACTACCACCTTGACATCTTTTCTGCCTCGTCTGCACCCAGCTGGCCACTCTCCCAGGAGGGCCACTATGGATTTTATCACGTGCCTGCCCTGCTCCTCCCCCGCAGCAGAATTACTCCGGCTTCCTGAGTGCAGGCCACTCCTCCTCACCTCCACCCTTGCCTTAATCTCATTTTGTGGGCACACCTGCTACCCCCTCGTCCCAACTGCATGTAAAGATGCTGGCCACACATCGGTCCTGCCGTCTGTGAACCATCACTCCTCGTGTCGTGGTGTTAACAGAAATCCACGAGGCGCCCCACAGATACTTTTCCTAATTTTTTTGTCAGTCCTCATATGGAAAGGAAACAAATAAAGTCAAGGGTTCATTTTCCTCCCCTCTTAGTCCACACACAGACATCCTCTTCTGCACCCTGCAGAAAAGAGCTGAGTCTCAGTAACACCTCCACAGAGCGAATAAGGGATGCTCTGACCCACAGTGTTTCACAAGCCCTATCGTTCACAAGGAAGACTGGACTCTGAAAGCCACACAAAAGCACTCATAAATTCCAGACTGCCCTCATCGTCCCCTCCCTGCCTTTTCCTAAGAAACTAGTTGGAATATCACTTCAGAGGTGGGATTCTTTCAAGAATTTTCCTTCTCAAATAGTCTATCACATCAACCTAATCAAGTGTCACGACTATTATTTATACTGAATTTTACTTTAATTCACATATGTTTACTAATAGAGCAAAGAGCATTTTAATAGAGCACTTTAAATTCTTTAAATCAGGTTTTGCCTAACAAAAATCCAAAAATTCACTATTTGTTACTTTTACTAATCATTACAACACTGAGTATGGACTCTCACATGAGTAAAGCTGTGTCTATGACTATCAATGCATTTCCAAATTCTGCAGCACAAAGACAAAGAACGTGTTGATCCCTCCCGACACGGACGATACAGTCATCTCTCCAACTTTCTAATGACTTTTAAAAGACTCATCTAAATTAAGTGTATTTAAGCCCAGGTCTGCCCACAATATTAAAATTATTCAATTCTTGAGTAGTATTAAGAAATAAAAATTCAACAGGAATTTTAAAAATTTAGGTTAGAAGAGAAAGAGTAGAGTCAAAACTAATTAGAAAGGCCATAGCAACAATTTTCTTTTTTTTAAAAGGACATTGTTCCAAAACGCCTGTATTTATTTCTCTCTCTCTGTAGGCACTGCTTTTCAGATCCTTCACACCAGCACATTATCCACACCACGGAGAGTTTCATCCTCCGCAAGGAGGTAAGCTTGCCTGCCTCCTGTGTTATCTGTCCACGTTCCATTTGAATCCAATTTCCTTGCATTACCTCTGCCCAGGTCAGGGATGAATGGCTGTCAAATTCCCAGTGGAATAAAAAGAAAAACCCTTTCTTCCTGAGGCAGCAAGTTTCAATTCACAGAGCACATGGCTAATCTACATATGTGAAGGTCACGGCACTTCAGTCAAAGAGGTTAAGAATGGAACAGCTCACGTAAGGGGTTGTCTTAAACATCTTGGCATGATGCCCAACAAGTAAGATTGTTGAAAAGCAATAGATAGCTTCTGGCAGCGGCCAGGGGAAAAATATTTTGATCATGTGATGCCACACACACTACCTAGTTTATTTTGTGTGTGTGAAACTTGGAGAGC